ATCCGCACTGGCATACCAATTTATAATTTCTTTTAATAAAGTTGACATTTTGCCAGCGATGCAGGCCAGGCAGCCGCCAAGCTGATGTTTTGGTGGCTTTTTTTGTGCGTCTGCAACGAGTGGATCATGGATGATGATCATGGGCCCAAGGATGTGTCGATGATTGTCGGATGGATGCCTGACCGGACCGGACCGGACGGGGACCTCTCTGCTGGCACTGACACTACTGCCACAAGGTGTTGGAGGTTGTCGCGCCTGGCATTTTGGCACTTTCGCAGCCCCTTCCGTACCCATTCCCATTCCCATTCCCAGGTCTCCCCTGTTTTCCCCCTACCCTTACCTACCTACCCGAGTCTGATCTGGTTTTTGGGCTCCGCTGTATGTCGACGTACACGTAGTTTGCCGTATGCGGGAAAAGTCACCCCACTAAACGTTTACCCAAAATGCCTTCCGCTCTCCACACACACACACGTGTCTACAAATTCCGCAAATATCCGTTATCCGTTTCCTTTGTACGAGATTTATTTGTTTCTCCATTCTTTCCGCCGTATCAGGATGTGCAAATCTTAAAATTTAAAAATAAAATACAACGCACACACATGGAACAACAAAAAAAAATCACAAAATCCCTCAAACCACCAGAGTTGAAAGTGGTGTGGGCTGGTGTTCCCCGGTTCCTCCCACCCATGTGCCGTCGTAATGCTTTGACCATATTAGCACCCAATTCGCTTGCTCTCCCATTCCTCACAGTCCCTGGCCCCTTACCCCGCGCGCCTCGTGTGCATTTTATCTGTTATCCCTAACCCAGGAACGAGCAAAAAAAAAAAAAGGGATACGAATTGCTTTAAACTAAGGCACTAAGCACTTTTACCGCTGTGTTGTCTCGCTGCCCAACTTTGTCAAGCGCACATAACAAAGTGTTATGTGTTATGTGTCTTGTAACTAACACTACGAATGCGGCCGGCACTGTGGCACTGTGGTTGCAAACAGCAAAAAAAAGTATTAGTATCCTTTCAACGCCCAACCGAAATAACACTCGCTTATATACGAAGTGGCTGTGTCAGATATTAGGGATCGTAAGAATATTTTCAGTGTATTTGGGTCATTTGGTTGTGCTTGAGCTGAGTGTGAGATTTTTCTCAGTGTTATGCATTCTTCTACTGGCTGTGTGTTCTCCCGTCTGATGTTCCTTGCATCCGTTACTTTGCTGGCCGTTATTCTTGTCATTGTCATAGAAAGAAAAGAAGACTTTGCAAGGCTTGGAGAGAGTATTTGTGGATTGCGTTGTAATCAAAAAGAGGAAGAGGGCAATGTCTGATTAAATTCGATAAATAAAATATGAGAATTTTTGTGGAAAATCAGTCTTGCCCCAGTGTACCTCTGTTCTCCTTCTCACGTTGTCGCGCGCTTTTCGGAGAGTGTGGAAAAAGTAAATTTTTCAAATGTTACATTTTTTGTAGCCCTCTTTGCGGGGCGAGTGAAAGTTGCTAACCTCTCTCTCTGTCTCTTTCTGTATCTTTCTGTATCTTCTCGTCTCTCGCCTGCTCCCTGCGGTGTGTTGATTTTTATAGTTTTCCAAGGCATGCCCCAGCCGCCAGCCCCACCCACATTTGCCATTTTCTGGACGAGTTGCGGTCGTTTTGTTTTCTGGCCCATTTGCGGAGCAAAGTTTTGCATCAAGTTGTAAATTTGGCGATTAGCACCCCTTTGTGAGTTGGCTGAAATGGTCGGCATGTGGTCCCAGAACGGGACAGAATGGCACAGGACAGATCCAGCAGTCAGAGATGAGAGCTGGAGCTGGGAGCTGGAAGTCGGATCAGAACCCCATTTCTAACAGCCGCACAAAAGCTTGACAAGATGCGCGTCGGCTGATAAGTTGCATGTGAAATTAGCATAGGCTTTGGTCTTTGGCCAGCAGCGGACACTCTCCACTCCACACTCCACTCTGATGGCCCCACCATGCCCCACTCTGCTGCACCACACTCCAGCCGCAGCAACAGCAACCAGCAGCAGCAGCAAGCAGCAGCATACGGGCGACGATCTTGTCGCTAAACTTTATGAATAAAACATTTTTTTGGGGCGGTGAACGTGGTCAACAGTAGCAGTAGCCGTCCCCAGCTTTGCCAGCTTCTGCTGGCCAACTCCAGACTGGAAACGACTTCGGACTCGGACTCGTACTCTGACTCTGACTCTGACTTGAGTTGCAGTTGCTACAAATGTTTTACAAGCTTTTCAGCGCTTTGTTGTTTGCCATTGTTGTTGCTGTTGTTTCTGTTATTGTTGCCACAGCAGTTCCCGGAAACAATTCAGTTTAACAGAGAGAAAGAGATATTGAGGGGGGTGTAGGTCGGAGGAGAGAGAGAAAGAGAGAAAAAGTGCATCGCATATCGAACAATAAATCGTGAATGGTTTGGCTGAATGCTCGCTCGCCTGCTCGCTCGCCTCGATTCCGATTCCGATTCACTGCGCCACTTGCATTTGCTTTATGATATGAGGCCTGTCCCTGACATTTGGCTTGACTTTATTTATGATAACAGTTCCTCCAAAATGCGCTGAAAGGAATCGGATTCGGGATCGGCAACTGGGACTGAGACCGGACCCCAAAACAAAACAAAAACAAAAAAAAAACATTCACTCAACAGTTTGTCAGCATTTTGTCTTTGTATCTCGTTGACCCAAAGCTGCAGGCGGCTCCAGTTTTATAAATGTTGTACCTAATATTTTCTCCTTTTGGTGCAGGAAATGAGTTTCAAATATCAGTACATGTTTCCCCCACTCTTTCTACGGTCCAGCCCCGTGGGCGTGAAGGCGTTGAGGCGTGCCTGTAATCCTGGCAAATTTGATATACTTAAGGCGCAGGGGCTGGAATGAGTTGCAAATTGGTTTAACTGTGTCTATGTCTGTCCTGTCTGCCCCGTCTGTCCTTCTGCCTGCCTCTCCCTGTAGAACTTGCCCTCAAGCAATAAAAAATGTGTATTTTTTATGTATTTTTTATGATTTCTTCTCTGGGATAGCATGAACCCGTTAAATGAGCCGCGAAAATAGTTTCCGTGTCCTGGAAATTGCAACGAAAATGTGCCATAATGTGATAAGGTGTAAGGAGAAGTGTAGATAAATATTGCCAAGGATTTGGTTTCTTATTTTTTTGTTTTTTTCTTTGGAAATATGTATACTCTTTAAGGGAAATCGATTTAAAATGGATCAAAGGAACATTTAAGGTAGTGAAACCAAATTTATACATTTTATGTGTAACCAACAAGAGGGAAGAAGCTCGGTTTTCTATATGGCTAAGGGATTGGATGTGCCATAGTTAGGGAAATGAATACGCAATAGATTCAGTAACACTAGAAATGAAAGCTCAGGTGGGGGAATATTATTCAAGTTCGATGAGTAATTAACTGCACTGAAAAGTTTAACTCCTCTACGTATATAATTTTACAAAAAAACTTTATTTTTTCGCATCGAGGCACTCGGAGAAAAACGCCTTGAAATTTTAATATTTACACTAAGATTTTAAAAGCTTTTCCAATATAATGGAGATGGAGAATAGTTTCACTAAAATTTTGAAATGAATAAGAAAATATATAATTTAAATATATTTCATTATTAAAATAAATAAATATTTTCATATGTAGATTAGATATATTTCCTACAAACTTAATACATACATTAAATTTGGGTCGTATTAAATGTATTATACATTTTAATGCATAGAGTTATAAATCAAAGTGCATTCTATAAGCTATAGAAATAGCGTAGACATATTTCAGATAATACTCTGACAGGTTTATCTCGTAATGGTCTGATTGGGTGGGTATGCAGCAAAGAATTTAAGATCGGGCTACGCTTCATGAAATTAAAGACCACTTCCGACTATATTAATTGATCCGATGACAGATACTCTCGCCTCAACTCCCATACGCCACCCAGCCCCATATAATTTTAATTAAAATTCGCGCACTCAACCATTTCGAAGAGAATGGAAATTAATTTGCAAAAGCAAACAGAATCGAACCAAAAACCATCGAACCAATTGCAATTGCAGCCACGCTGGACTGGGAGGGGAATCAATCAAGCGTGGATCGGCGGAGACCATGGCAAACAGTTGCCGAACTCCGCTCTCCGTCTGATTAGCACCCAAACGGTGCAGTCGGCTCTCGGAACTTCCGTCTGAAAATGTTTATTAAAAAATTTTCACTTTTACATAAATTTCCACAACAGCAGCGGCCGCGGCCGCAGCAGCAGCAGCAGCCGGAAAAAGACCAGCAACGGCAGCAGGTACTACCAGCTGGTGCCATCTGCCTGGATATGGATGGATGGAAATGGAATGGCCACACCCAGAAATGGGAACCGCCCCCGTGGATGGCCTTATGTACGGGAGCACACAGCACACACTATGGTTGTCTCGCTCAGACAGCGACCCTGTCTACCCATTGGATGCGTCACCCGAACCGGTTTCTGCCCAATGCCAAAGGGAGGCCATTGCCAGTGGCAAGAGCAGTGTCGAACATATCCACCTACGTACGTACGTACCTTAGATATGTATGTATCTGTCTGTATACAAGCGAAGTACGTACTCCTATGTATAGCAGCGCCAAGGGGTTGGGTTGGGCTGGGCTCGGCTGGGTTGGGGATGTGCTCCAAGTGTGCTCCACTTGAAGGCAGCTGCTCCTACGCTTTGTCGTTTGTCTAAATGTTTGTGTTGGAGCTGCGGGAATCGCGTGGGTGCGCGAATGAGTAGATGGTTGGATGTATGTAGGGTGAGGGCGAGCTGAAGGGTGAAGGCAGATGGTAAAGGGGCTACGGCTGCACTCAAGGGAAGCTACATCAACTACCAGTTTTAACTGGCAGATACATTGATTTTTTTCGTATACCCTGTGGTGGGTGGGAGGCTACCCCAGACTCGAACTCAGCCAAATATGATGCAAATCAAACTGCTATATCCCACAGGAACTGATCAATCTTTAGAAACAGATTTAAACTCTAATTATTTGCTTGAAAAATATATATTTTATGTTTTTGTTTGCTATTGTAGGCCATTGCTAGGCGTACAATCAATGTATTTGGTTACAAATATACTCGTAAATCAGAATATTTTTTAGTTCCGGTTTTGCGTGGCTAACTACCGGAAGGGAAGCATCCTCCCAAGCTATTAAACATTACTGGTACTCGTATTTATGGTTTTGTTCTGACTATTTACAATACATTAAACACATTCGTAGCTCTTGGATCGTCTGCCGTTTGGCGTTTTGCTTGAAAGGTTTTCGGTTCACAAAATAATATTAAAGAAGTTTACGAAATTATCAACTCTACTATAAATTAGAAAAAAACACTTTTCAAATAACACTTAGGAGCTACAATTAAACTGAAACGTCCTGAAACCGTAAATGGTCCGCAATGGTCTCCGCCTCGCTCTCTCTCTCTGTCTCTTCCTAGTGGTTTCGCAGTGCCTCATTGATGACACGGAGTATATCGATTTGTAGATCTGTAAAGGCCAGCGGATCCATGTGAGCACTGCGAATCTTCATTGCGACTGCCTTGAAGAAGGCACCGATTTCATCCTCCTCGCCGTTGCTGCTGCTGGCTGCAAACTCCAGATGTCCGCTCTTGGGGGGTGAGATTTGATTGGCGTAATAGCGCGATGTTGGCGTGGAGCACGGTGTGGTTGCAGCGTTCTGATAGCGTGGAGTTGTGGGCGTTTCAACGTCCAGCTTCTGCTGATAGCCACCAGCGGATTGCAGCTGCTCCAGATTATTCGGGGCATCGTTGAGCTGCTCCTGTTTGGTCAGGCCATTGCCAACACTCTGAACGGCCATGTAGACGGACCCTTCCTCATGGTCATAGCCCACCACGTGTTGTTCTTGTTGCTGGGTAGTCGCCTCTGGCACCGTTGTGCTCTCCATCTCCTCATCCTCATCGTCGTCGTCCTCGTCATTGTGGTGCGCATCGCCATTTATGTAGTTCTCAATGTCCATGTCATCGTAGCTGGCCACACAAAGCTCCCTGGCCTGCTGGTTCTGCTCCTCCTGCTGCTGCTGCTGCTGCTGCTCTCGCAACGCATTGGTCAGCTCGGACTTGTGTGGACCCGTCAGGGTTGGCAGGGGCATGTTAAGCTGTGAGCTAGCCGAAGACGTTTCCATGGTGCTTTGCTGTGTCGGCGGAGAATGGGAGTCATGACCACCCAGATGCTCCTCTAGATCATGCTTGGGCAGCAGCATACTGAGTGGAGGATCTCCCTCACTGAAATAAATGCCAAAGCAATTTAAAATATTAGCCATACAGCCATGAGAATAAATCTGTGCAGCTTACAGCGACTTTTGTTGTATGTACTTCTGCAGGAAGCTGAGTGTATCGTAGTGCTTCCATCGCGATGTGGCCTCTATTTGCATCAGGGTCCTCAGACGTTTGTGCTCGCGTGCGTATTGGTCCCGCAAGGCTTTCCACTTGAGCCGACACTGTTTCACTGTAAATGTATTGATTGAGATAGTTAGAAAAGGGCCAAGGCCAAGCAGTGTCCGCAAAGCTCACCCGACTTCTTTAGTTTGCGAGCTATCTCCTCCCACACTTCCATTTTTAGCTTGGCATTGCGATAGTTCTCATTGCCATAGTTGTAGATCATATCCTCCTGCTGTATCAGCGTAATCAGTTCTTTCTCGAAATAGCTTTCCATATTGAGGAACGTGTGTATGGGATCATCATCTTCCTCCTCGGCGTTCGTCGTCGACGTTGTCGCCGCTGCTGTGGCTGCCTTTGTTGTAGCCGCAGAGTTTGACTGATTTGTTGTGGCATTTACACAGTCGACAATCTCCACAACCGTGGTGGAATTCTGCGCGCCGCACTGCACCATGCTGGGCGCAGTCGATCCGCCTCCTGCATCGGTCAGGTAGCTCCAGTTATTTCCTGGCTGCTGCTGCAGGACATTGTTTATGTGATTGGCAATGAAAGCTGATCCGGACTTCTTGTCGGTGGACGTCGTGACGACCCCAGCCCCAGACGACGTTGTAGATGGCACATGCTGTTGCAGAAACTGAACAATACTGCAGTTGTCCAGGAGAGTGGCTGCCGTGGCATCTTCGATCTTAATGCTGCCGGTTAGCTGCAGGTTCTGACTGCTGCTGCTGTTGCTGCTAAACGAGTTGTTGATGGGCAGCGTCAAGGGCGCCACTGTGGACACAATACCATTGGCATTCTGTCCACATCTTCCCCGATAGCTGTGGAAACAGAAGTGCAGTCTCAGTGGGTTGGTTCTTGATCACCAGGGTTCCTACTTACTTTCGCGCCAGCGCATATGGACGCAGAAAGTCAAGTTCCTTGAAGTATTTCCACTTGACGGCTTTGGCACAGGATTTGGCGCGCTTCAGCTCTCGGCAGTATTGATCCCTCAGGGCCTTCCATTTGCCCTTGCATTGTGTGTCTGAAAAAGACGGGTGAGTTTGACTGGCAAATGGCGGGGGAAATGGGGCTTCAGGCTGCATATTACTCACCTGACCAACCCACTTGACCGCCAATCTCGGCCCATTTCTCATCCTTGCTCTTTGTACTGCGGTAGTGCGGGTGCTTGGGATTGTACAGGCATTGCTGTTGGGAGACGAGCGATAGTAGAATCAGTTCTTTGGGTATGCTGACCACATTATCGCCCAGACTCGAGTCCATGCTGAGATTTCCGAGCTGTTGCTGCTGTTGCTGTTGGCTGGCACATGGCAGCGTCTCCATTACACATTCTTTTATTGATACATCCAGCTGGCGGTCTGTGTATTTGGTTAATTATTATAAATAAAAGCAAGGAAAACAAAAATGAGGTGACCGAGAACAGCTGGCCCAATCAGTTGTGTAATTAGAGTGACCAGAGCCGCACCGTTGTCAGTGTTGTATAAGCTCTCTCTTTAGTGCTGTGAATCGCACGTTTTGTGGCCATGTTGGCAGCGCCGCCATTTCCATGTTTATTTCGATTCGTAGCGCGTAAAAAGTGTTTTCATGTGTATTAAACTAATCCAATTAGTTAATTGCATTACCCGCGAGGGCAAAAGAAAACATCATAACATGTAAGCGAAACATTTTCTTCAACATTTAGTTTGTTTTGCGACGCGGTGCGATATAAATCAACATTCAGCTAAAATTTCGTCCCTCGATTAATGCTCAATCATGCCGAAAATTGATCCAGAAACACAGGCCCTATATGACGAGATCAATGGCATGATAAAGAAGTTTCAGGTTGCACATTTAGCGGCAGAGTTCCTCCAATCCAATGGGATCTAAAATCAATTTTCATCTCGTTGCAGGATGACCAAAAGGCCAAGGCGGATTGCACATTGGCCGACAAATGCGGCGACATGAGCGATGTGACCAAGATCCGCTTCTCATCGAAGAAGATTCTCAAGGGTCACATCAACAAGGTCAACTCGGTGCATTTCGCTGGCGATTCGCGCCACTGCGTCACTGGCTCGCTGGATGGCAAACTGATCATCTGGGACACATGGACAATGAACAAAGTGCAGATCATACCCTTGCGATCGGCCTGGGTGATGACGGTGGCCTTCTCGCCATCGGGCAATTTCGTAGCCTGCGGCGGCATGGATAACGCCTGCACTGTCTATGATGTGAACAATCGCGATGCCTCGGGCGTGGCCAAAATGGTGCGCGAACTGGTGGGCTACGAGGGCTTCCTCAGCTCCTGTCGGTTTCCTCGATGACGGCCATTTGATCACCGGTTCGGGTGACATGAAGATGTAAGGCATCCCAAATAGATTTGTGGACTTGTCTGTACTAACTAACTCAAATATCGTTGTAGCTGCCATTGGGATCTGGAGAAGGGTGTCAAGACAATGGATTTCAATGGGCATGCTGGCGATATTGCTGGTCTCTCGCTGTCCCCCGATATGCAGACCTATATAACCGGCTCTGTGGACAAAACTGCCAAATTGTGGGATGTACGCGAACAGGGCCACAAGCAGATGTTCTTTGGCCACGACATGGATGTCTCCTCTGTTTGCGTGAGTACATCTTTCCGTTTTCGTCTCTGACAAGGTTCACCATTTGATTATGTTTTTTTTTTTGGGACAGTACCATCCAAATGGCTTTGGCTTTGCCTCCTGCTCGGAGGATCAGACGGCGCGCTTGTACGACTTGCGGTCGGATCAACAAATCGGAAAGTACGAGCCACCCCAGAAGAACACGGGCTTCACTTCGTGCGGTGCGTCTTTCGGGCGGCTTTCGCCTTGACTTTTGACAATTTTTAATCTGATTTTGTGTTGTGCTCATTAGCTCTATCGACCAGCGGGCGCTACCTAATGTGCGGCGGCATTGAGGGCATGGTGCACTCGTGGGATACGATGAAACAGAGGCATACGGGTGGGTATTGGTGGATGGGAATGGGGATGGTATGGTGGGGGAAACTCTGCAAATGCTAATATCGATTTCTTCTTTTGTTTCTTCTTGTCTCTGTTTCTGCCATAGGCACACTGTCTGGACACGAGAATCGGATTACTTGCATCAGCCTGTGCCCCAATGGCATGTGTCTAGCCTCGACCAGTTGGGACCAACAAGTGCGTCTGTGGCTATAATTCTCTCTCTCTCTCTGTCTCTACTTCTAACTCCTAACCCAAATACAATCTTGGTTCAATGCCGTCTAATAACATTAACTAACATAAAACGTAGCTGTCGAGAATAATTAACCAGACCAGAGAGCAATGCATGTGCGAGAATAAAATCTATAGACTAGCACTACTAACAACAACAACCAAAACTTATTCTTATTTCTTGCTTATTATTTATTCGTTTTTGATTTTTTTAAATTATAATCTTTGTAGCTGCACCAGGAAATATTCATTCGTGGATTGCTTTTCCTCTGATGTTATTCCCACATTAAAACCAGTAAGTAATATTATTATTATTATTTTTTTTTATATATTTTTTATATTTTTCTTATAAAAAATACTTATACAATTACGAAGATATTTGTTTGCTGCTGCGATTTTTGGCGCTTGGTTTTTTGTTTTTGTTTTGTTTTGTTTGTGAAAAATAATCTTTGAACAGATCAAAGAAAGCAGCGAAGTAAATTAAAAAACAAATCACTTTTATCATCAACATAAATGAGAAACGAAGCAGAAATAGTTCGAGCAGATCAAGAAAAAGATATAGACATTAGAAGGAGTTGACAGACGAAAGACAAACAGCAGATATTTTCGAGTATAGAAAGTGGAAAGTGAGAGACGAGACGGAAAAGAGAAGATTTGCATAAATAATAGATAGATAGAGGGAGTGGGGGAGAAGAGAAACGAAACTTTAGGATCACACAAGATGCAACAAATTGAGTATTTTTTTTTGTAGATGGTTCAACATATTGATTTTGTTTTTGTTTTTGTTTGTTTGCTTGTTTGTAAGGGATTTATAGGTGTTTTTTAGTTTATCAGACTCTCGGTGGAACTACTATAAGTTGTTCTCTTGTTGGTTTTGGAAAAGAATAAGAATAAAAGAGCAGGAGAGCGTTCCTTAGACGGAGAAGCCGTCGCCAGTGGGATCGAGGATCCAGGGATAGTTATTGGGGCACTCCATGCACGTGAACAGGCGCAGCGTCTCGCCGGGCAGCTCCCGAGTGGTCAGTGGGCAGGCATTGGGCAGGGAGCAGTAGGGCTGTCCCTTGACATCGCACTTCTCCTTCCACTCCTGGAAGTCGCGCAGCGAATTCAGCTCGGTGGGGTTCTGCATCCACTGGATCACCTGCAGATTGGTCACAAAGAACACATCGTTGCGGCCGAGCATCTCCTCGATGAACTTGACCAGCTCGTCGCGGTACTCCTTCTTGGACTTCAGCCACGAGGCATGGAAGTGCAGACCCAGAGGGGCGCGGTTGCTGTTGTAGTGGCGGTTGAAATTGTGGCGCAGAAGGCGCGCAAACTGCTCGCCAGAGGCAACGTTCGAGCAGGAGTCGACCATGTGGCAACCGGGCAGAGACTCATCGAAGGTTGGGTCATCGCGACGATCCAGCTCGTTCATGACCATCTCCCAGACGGGGTGGCTACGGGATGGGCAGTTGTGGGCATTGCCGTTGCACTTGTGGGGCATGCGGAAGTAGAGGGTGTAGGGCCAGATGGGCACACGGCCCAGGGAGGCGGTGATTGAGGCGTCGTACACGAAGAACTGATCCGCCATCATCTCGAACTGCTTGTTGCCGCCCACACGGAGGTAGGGGGCACGCATGCCGATGATCGAGCCGTCGGTGATGTTGGCAAAACGCTCAACAATCAATCGGGAACCGGCCATCTCGGCCAGCCAGTCGTCGTAGCTGCCGCCGGACCAGTAGTTGGGCTCGTCCTTGTGCGTCAGCGAGAACACGGAGATCTCGTGGCCGCGACGGTGCAGATCCTGCACGGCCGAGTAGTTGGTGTACTTGTGCGAGACGAAGAATGTGCCCTTGATGGAGCAGCCGTTGGGGTTCTGGCGCTGCCCATTGAACAGATCATCGTACAGATCGATGTTGTCCACGTTGACGGCACCATTGAAGGTGATGGTGATCATCTGGGGCACCTGCTGGGGCTCAATTCCGCCGGGAATGCGGGTTCCGTCCGCCGAGCAGAAGCAATCGGGCAGGGCGCACTGAGTGGGATCGCACTCGGGCGCACGGTTCGGATCCTCATCGACAGCTGTTGAGTTGGGAGTTTAGTCTGTGGCTTAGAAGGGGATCAGAGATCAATGGTGGCCAGTGACACTTACAGCAGGCGTTCTCATCGGACTCGTCCTTGCAGTCGGGCTTGCCGTTGCAGAAGAGCTCCTTGTCCAGGCACTCGCCGTCACCGCAGGACAGCTTACCCTCGGGACAGATGGGCTCATCCGTCTTCAGGATGGGCTGCGCCTTGCGGGGCTCTATGGAAACGTGCGAATGAGAGGATGAGAGAGGTGGATGGTTTGGTGGGTTAGATCAAGGATCTTCTGTGGATCTTATGCCTAAAAGTTGTTTCGGTTAGTGACAACCAATGTCTAAATTTTGAAATGGGAAGTATACATACATATGAGTGCATGGGTGCAGTGCGGTTAGTGCGGCTGATTGGTGAGATTGGTAGGGGGGTTAGTGGGCAGTGGGTAGTGGGGATCACACACCATTTTGTGGTGCGGATTGGTTAGGATTGTGTTGTTTGGTAATTGGATTTTGGAGTGTGTTAACGGATTTGATTCTACCAAAGTTCCGAATCTAACATTGCTGACTACTGTATGTACAAGTGTTGTTTTGGTTCCAGGAGATTTTATATTTGATTTTTGATTTATTTTTGTTTTGATTTGTTTTTGTTTGGTGGTTGTCTAGCTTGGTTGGTTGTTGTAGTTGTTGTTGTTGTTTCGTCACACTTACTCTCTTTCTCATTGCAATTGGTCACCTTGGCCTTCCAGTCGCAGGTCTGTTTGATCACATCAAAGGCCAAACCGGAGGGACACTGAATTTCTTTCAAACCCGATTTAGTACATCTAAAAAATAAAGTTCATTTTGTTGTTGTTGTTGGATGTTTCATGTTGCTATCAGCTGTCAGCTATCAGCTATCAGCTGTTGCTGTTGCATCTCTACACTCTTTGGCTAGCTAAAAGAACTTTGGCACTAAGTGGGTGGGAGTCTTCAATTAAGGGTGTGGTGGGGGTGGAGTCTGGGTGGTAATTATGCAATGACACGAACGATATTTCAAGGGGGGAAGTTTTTTTTAATTTGGTTTTGTTTTGTTTGGTTTTGGTTTGAGTTTGAATTTGGTTTTAGTAACACAGACACAACAAAACGCACAATGAGATGCGATGCGCACACACATACGACATACGAATAGACACAGTGAGAGGAGACAGATAGACAAAGACAGAGGGACAGAGAGGCAGAGACAGAGTTAGGTGGGTGGAAGATGGGAGGCTGTTTTTTGGGGCTGGGAAGCCTTTAGAAGTTACTATCCGGAGTGGGTGGTTGTGGCCTCTAGTGGGCCCCACTTACTTTCTTGGACATCGCAATTCTTCACGTTCGATTTCCAATCGCAAAGCTGTCGCAAAACATCGAACGCCAAGCCGCCGGCACATTTAATCGGTGCCAGGCGATTGCTGCCATCTTCACCGGCGCTGTCGCACCTTTCGATACCGATACAAAGAGGTGCAAAGAGTTGGTTGGTTGGTTGTAAGAACAAATAGCATAGCCATATAGACTGCAGAAATAAACGGACAATCTGATAGTTGCTTGGAGTGTTGCTCCCTTACCTGTACACCTCGCGGCAGTCGCCATCGGCCTCCAGGCGGAAGTACTCGTCGGCGGGACGATCCGCACATACCTCCTCGACATCGACGCCCTCCAGCTTCTCCTGCTGGGATTTTCCTGTTTGAAATGGAATAAATGAGTCTGGTTGCTTATAAGAAAGTGTGTAAGTCATGGGAATAATTATCGAATTCATTGGATATTATATTCCATTTATTTATTTATTTATTTATGGCTATTAATATTATTATGTGTCAAGAGTGTATCAATTTTATATCATTTAATTATTCTATTGAATTCTGATACATTTTCTGTCTGGCTTCCGAATTATTGTGTGTGTTAAATCTTAGCCTGTTCTATGGGCTTAAAGGCACTCCTAATTAGCCACACCTCATAATGGCTTTAATGGCTTAACTGTTTTCGTACTGCCAACGCGAACGAACCGAACGACTTTCAACCGGTTTGGTCTGTGCTTGTGGGGAAATACGAGTGCCAGTACCAGTACCAGTACGAGTACCACTTCTAGCCGAACGACCCAAAACAACTCTCATTTTTGTTCATAGCCAACGTTTTATCATCATCTTGCCGCGTTCAAATGAAAGCGAAAGGGCAACGGAAAGCCTCGGGGGCGCTCCAGCCTGCAGCAGCAGCTCCCTCCCATTTATAGGCGCAGACATGGCCATATCCCCATATTCATCTCGAAATGGAAATGGGGAATGTGCCTGCCCGATGATGTTGACTGGCAGTTTCACATGTAAGGTGTCTGCTCAAACGGGTTCGTAGATTGGCTAACTGCTGTTGTTGTTGTTGTTGTTGCTGTTGTTGGCGTATTGGAAACCCGTTTTCAGTTCAACATTAAAATGATATTGCATAAACAACGTTGCCGAGTCCAAAAATATATTCAAACGGAACCGATCCAGCCAGCCAGCCAGCCAGCCAGCCCGTCAGCCAGCCAGCCGCAGGTTTTGCTCGTTTTGCCTATGCTAATTTTTTTTGATTGGCTTGTGGCCAGCTCCGGTTTCGTCCTCATGCCACAGTTTTCTTGGTTTCCTTTTCGATTGTCTTTTCATCTCCAGCGCAATCTCAATCTCAATCTGATGTTCGTTCAGCGGTTTCTGGTTTCTGGTTTTGGGTTATTGCATCACCGATCGAAGGATAAATTTGATCGATCGCATGCCGCTAATGACTTGCAACAACTCCGATATTTTCGATCATCTTTTTTCAAGTTTATTTACCTTGGCCAACGACCGAAGCGGAGTGGTTTGTTTTGTCTTTGTCTTTTCCTCTGTGCGTTTTTTTATGTTTTATTTTTTTTTCTGCAACCTTGCAAAAAGTTGCCGTGGAGTTTCCACCGATAAAGGTCAATTGGGCGAAGCCGACGTGGCTATGTGTCTGTGGCTGCCACTTAAGCTCTAAGTACAACTAATTTCGAGTACTCACCAGCTGCCATACACAGGCACATAATGGACACAAAAAGTGCCCAATGGGTACGCGCCATCTTTTGTTTTTTTTAGCGCCTTCTAAATCAGCAAAAATAGACAGCAAAAACAGAGATTGGATTAGCCAACACACAAAATCACTTTGAATCGAAAGATTATTATTATACATGTAGAGTTAGGTATGCATGTAGTACAGAGAGAAACTTTTTATGAAACTTGACTAACATTTGCGCACACAGCAACGGAATGAACAAAACCCTGTCTTTGGACTCTGTGTGGGGGGATGATGATCGAATGATCGGATGGTCGGATGGAAGTGGAGTGAACGGAGCACTCTTCCAATACACAGCCACGATTACACTAGGTGTTGGCCGGGGCCAACGAGTTCTATTTATTAAGCCGTGGTGTGTCTTGGCCACTGCCGTGTGGTGACTTTTGGGGCTCGAAAACTCAACACACGGCCACACGGACAGCAAACCGTCGCGCCGGCGCAGAGCTTTCGACGGGGTAACGCTCGGGCTGGGGGCCACTCTTGTGGAACGTATTTGAAAATGCCAAGGCATGAGGGCGAGCCGAGCAGCTCGACTCGGCTCTCCTGTCTCTGTGTGTGTGTTTCTGTGTGTGTGTGTGTGCGAGTGTGAAGAAAGGTTAATTAGCATTTATAGGCGCAGGTGGGAGCGCGGGATTATACAGATATGGGAATATGTATGTATTTTATGCTCAATTGTGTGGGTGACTTGTCTGACTGCACCTCTGGGGCTTGCTGGTGTTTTTTTTTGGGAGTTCGGGTTCGGCTTAGGGCTGGGCTGGGCTGGGCTGGGCTCTATACTATTAGTTAGTCATCGTCTCTGATCGTCTGCGTCTGTCATCTTAGACATAAATCAAATCCAAAGTCCCATCAATCTCATTCTGCCACTGACCCTGAATTGCCAAGTCTTTTGTTTGAACATCTGCGACACGGCTTTGGCTTCGGCTTGATTATCTCTCGATTCTACTTGCCTTCAACTATTATTATGCAGAATCTCGATTTCGTAACTGTTTTTCTACTCTTTTTTTGTTTGTGACACTTCTCTTCTGATTTCTTTCACACGTTTCTAGTGTGTGTGTGTGTGTCTAGTTACGAGTACTTTTTATTTTCACCCAAACGATACGAGAATCCCAATTGCCACTCGGACACGCGTTGCATATGAAAAGACCCTCTGAGGTTGGTTGGGGCCTGGAACTTACGATGAGCCTGCCCAGTGTCTGCCGGAGATTGGTTATGCCAAACACATCGGTCGCATAAAATTCTTGTTAGCGTGGCTAAGACACTAAAAGGTTATTAAACCTCTGCTGCCTGCCTGCCGCAGGTATTCCAGCAAAAAGAGAGTCTTGTTTTCGATTGTCACTGAGTCACCGGCTGTTAAATTTAACTCCATCTCTGCATCTGTCGTTGGCTCTGTCTTTGGCTTTACTCCCTCCGAAACTCTTCTTTTTAATTAATGTCAAATTAATGATGCCGTTGTTAACTGTTTTCGCCTGCTGTTTACCTGCTTTTTGCACTCTCCGTTCGCTGTTATGTAAAGCAGATGGAAGTGAGATGCAGGGGCGCAGCAGCAGGCACACAATTTAAGGGCCAGGCCCTGTTATTCAATAAGCGATTCCAGAGCGGATCGGAGTGGAGTGGAGTGTGTGTTCACATGCAGAAACAACCGCCGCAGCGACAGCAACCAAACGGAGCATGTTTGCGGATATGAAATCAGCAGCAACCTTGTGTGCTCAGAGCACACTCCCATCCCCATCCACTTTGTAACGGGATGCAAGAGGTTCAACAGGAAACGGTCAATATTTGCTTAGGGAATGAGCCATCAGAAGATTTGGAGTTAAGCATTCTTCAGTCGGAGTTTGGGGGGCGGTACATGTCTCAAGGGTTTTGAGAAATAAGAGTGCCTTGGGATGTGTTAATGATTGTCGAATATCTCTTGAAGACCCTCCACGAATGCCACGAAAAATCTGTTTCTTCTGTAAAAAAGGAACTGCAAAGCAGTAAAGCTGAAAAGCGTGTGCTTTAGCTACTGTTTGCTATCTGTTTTCCATTCATTTTATCAGCACACCCTCTAAGACTTGATTTATATTCCCATTTTACCTTTGAATAGAGCAATTGATCATCAACACGATTCGTGTCAAGTGTTTCTCCAATGGTTTCCCCCTTTTGCTTTTTGTTTTGTTTTTTCTTGACTGCATCGCTTAGCCACTGATAAATGCTTGACCAACCGAATGGACCAATGGACAGGGCCATGTCAATTAAATTTGATTCGTGTCCGATCTAGAAGGAATCGGCTGGTGTCTGTTGGCTGTTGTCTGTTGTCTGTTGGCTGGTGGCGTGTTAATGCAATTTATTCGAGTATTTCGAGTTTATGTACATTGTACATATTGCATAGCCATTTCCTGAACTTGAAAACGAGTTCTGTCTGTCGTTCTGTGGTGTCGCGCAGAGTGCCCGAGGCAAATCAGAATATGTACAGAAAGGCCAAGCCAACGTGGCGTATGAGCATTTTGCAGCGGGTGTGCTGGAAAATTCTTGGAATTGCCACAGATCACAATTACGTTTTAATTGCGATTTACCAATTGCCAGCTGGAGTCAACAATTGGAGTGGAGTGGCGGCACAACACGGTTGAAGGTTGTCGTCGTGCCACTTGGCACGAAGATGCTGCAAAAAGCGGTTCACCTTCTTCTTGATGCTGGTTGCAAAATTGGTTGCCGATTGCAGGTTTTTTTTTTTTTTTTCTTTTTTTTACTTAGTTACAATTAATTTCTGCGCTCTGGTGTGATATAATCCCTCAATCTCATCGGAAAGCCCGAAAGCCAACAAAAACACAAAAAAAAAGCTGATTATTATTATTACTTTGCTGCTTCTTTCCGCTGTTTAATCAACTGTTAAAACTGGTTTTTCAATTAGAGTGAAAATGTTGATGATATGATGGGCAATGGGCAATGGGCAATGGGCACCCCAAAGCGTTGACCAGATGAAGAGTGAAAATCGTTTTATTTTATCATCTTTTTTATTTTTTCCATGGGTTTTACGGATTTACATAATTTAGCTGCCCTCGATTTTGTGGCTGTGTGTTGTTGTTATTATTGTTTCCGATTTGATTTAAATTTGTAAGCGTTTTAACCATTTTTTTTTTCGCCAGCTGCTGTGTGGCTTTGCTTTGGAAAGGTCGTCAATACGAGTTTACAAAGTGAGTGACACACTTTTGATCTGTACAAATAAAAATCCAACAATAATAAGACAAACCAACAACGCCCAGCCGTGTGCTTTTGCCATGGTCCTTCGATCAATTAACGCAAATTAACTATTTTGCATACCAACTGCAGATGCAAAACGATAATCAATTTTGGCTGATTTAAATGTGGCTGTGTCAATGCTTGAAACTTTTCTAGCACTAGCTAAAGCTGTCCTTAAGCAGCAGAGCAATTAAGCTGCAGTCTCAACTGGAAGCTAAGAAAAAGAGAAATTGCTGCTTCAGAAAACCGTACAAAAACGGAATTGTTAATGAAGGAAATGGTGTATGGTGTGTGCTGTTGGTGCTGGTGCTGGTGTGGTGTGATGGCCAAGACAATAAACCAAGCCAAGTCGAAGTCGAAGTTGAAGATGAGCCTGTAAACTGTAAAAGAAATGCATAACCATAAAAAAAATCAAAAAAAAAAACGCGAGCTGAAATTGCATAACGGACCCCTCACCACCCTTCTTCTTCTTCTTCTTTGTTGTCTCTTCTCCTTCTTGCTCTCCCTATCATCGTCATCATCAGCTTCGATCCGCGCCGGGGGACGTATAGGGGGGAGGAGGCGTTTAATTTATGGCAAGCCAAGAGCATCGAAGGCCTGCAGCAAATAACGGACTTTCTTTTTAGTATAACTTCAGTATTTAAGACAATGTGCGTGTCTCCCCTGTCTGTGTGTCTCTCCATAAATATGGATTTGTGTGTGTGTGTTTGTCTTTGACTTTCAATTTTCATTTCCATTTGAAAACTCATCTGCAATCAGCTGCGATTTGTTTCTTTTCTTTTTTTTTTTGTGTGTGTTTTTTAAACATTTTTAACTGTTTGCCGACTTCATTATTATGCAATTATTTCTTGCGGGCAGCTCGTCAAAATCCGCCAACTGTTTTGACTGTGTTGGCCTGGGGCCTCTCTTCTGCCGATCGTCCCACCAGCTCTGCCCCGTCCCCCCAGGGCAACGTCACAGCTCCAACACCTGGTTGTGTCTCGTCTGGATCACCTTGTCGCATTGACGTCACCCGAATTGGCAATAACTTACATATTCACACAAAATGGAGTGAGAGTCTGAGAACCAGGAAGCTTATTCGAGAATTATGTAGTTGGGGAGCCCGCCGCAACGCATTGCACAGTGGTAGGGAAGGCGCGAAAAGGCAGTGAAAGTGGAGGATTCAATTGGAGTATTGGAGTATCGCAGCAGAGAGAGATAATTGCTGAAATTAATAGAAGTTGGAAAGGGAAGGGAGAGTCCCCTTCAGCGCAGAGAATTGGAAGAGCAGTGGATAGATTAGGATTTAAAATTTAGATTTAATTCTACTTCAAGTAGAGTTCTTCTCATTCCTATAGTTAACATCTCCAATCTGTGCATAGTTTGCGGTGTACTTTATCCTTAATCCCTAATCGGCTGTGATCCACTGTGCAGCAGCAGCAGCAGCAGCAGAGGAGGCTGTCCTACCTGCTGCTGCGCGTTTGTCGTCGTCGTCGTCGTCCCGTGTGCAATTTATGCAAATCGCCCACTTTACAACTAGTTCACTTACCTCAGCTTGGAAAAAGTAAAAGTTTGCTCAAGTTACACTCACACAGATACAACACACCAACACCAAAAGACACTCACACACACACACACACACAGACAGACTGGTGATCGTAGGGAACTTGTTTTTTGGGCCACTTTTTGGAGCCTCAGAGAGCCGCTTACCTTGATTGGTGATAAAACTTATTTATGCGTCGAATTCGTAGCAAAAAAAAAAAACAAAAAAATAATATTCATTTGTGCAGCAAAATAAGTGTGTAAAGCATATAAATATACGTATATCATATTCAGTTCATATGTGTCTGTGAATATTTGTGGTATTTCCAGCAAAAAATTTGCAATGCTTAAAATTAATTAGCAACATTTTCGATTTGTTTGGGGATTGCGCAAAGAGCCCCCAAAAAGCAAGCCCAAGCCCATGTCGCACCCCGAACCGAATCGCCGTCGAACCAGGCCCAAGAACCAGTTTTGCCATCTCCATAGCCAAATCTCCTTGCCTCCATCGCCATCGCCATCTCCTACTGCTTCTGCATTCATTTGTGCGCATACAAATTAGCAAATCTTGAGAGGCATTT